CTATGAGATGGATTTTGAGGTACATTAGAGGTACTCTCAATATTGGTTTGGTATTTGAGCGGGAAACTAGCGGTGGTCAGCTATGTATTGGTTACGTTTGATTCAGACTACGCTGGAGATTTGGATAAACGACGGTCAACGACGGGGTATGTGTTCACTTTGACCCGTGCACCGGTGTGTTAGAGATTGACCTTGTAGTCTACGATGGCTCTGTCGATGACGGACGCAGAGTATATAGCGATTACAGAGGCATTTAAGGAGGCGGTTTGGCTTTAAGGACTTTTGGAGGATCTTAGTATTTCACAGCGATCCGTCACCATTTATTATGATAGTATAAGTGCTATTTATTTGGTGAAGAACCAGGTTTTCCATACGAGGATGAAGCATATCGATATTCGTTATCACTTCATTCGAGATGTTCTTGAAAATGGGGATGTAGAGCTCGTGAAGGTCCACACAAAAGACAATCCAGCGGATATGCTCACAAAGGTGGTTCCAAGCAATAAGTTTGGTCATTGTAGAAACTTATTACAAATTCATGATTGTTGAGGTTGTTCGTGACCATTTGGATGAGCAACGGGCGGCTTGATCCCTTAGGAGAGGGGGTACGTAGGCAACTACATTGGTGCAGCCTGATTTGGCGATACGACGTATTGGTGCTCATGTTGGTATCGGATCAGTTTTGGGAACACTTCACCGAGGTGGAGAATTATAGAAAATGGCGTCGAATTGTTCAAAATGTTAAAAAAATGAAAATTCAGCAGCCTGGGTGTAGTGCGTGCCACACTCAGGTGTGCAGAATCTGTCATGTTGTTAGGGGTGTGATACGTGCTACACCCAAGTGTGACAGAATCTGTCCTATTGTTAGAGGTGTGAAGCGTGTCATACCCGAGTGTGGCAGACTCGTTTTCAGATTCCCATCCTGTTTTTTATTTGGTTTGTTATAAATAGAAACACACGTTTCTAGGATTATTAGAGAGTGTTTGAACAGAGAATTTAGGTTCTTTTGATCACTTTGAGAGGGAGATTGTGGTGAGGGAGTGAGAGATCATTGGTTGGGTTATTTTGAGAGTTGTTTGAGAGATTGTAACTCGTTGTTTCTCCTCTCTATAATAAAATCTCCTCATCCTCTCCCCGTGGACGTAGGCAATTGTCGAACCACATAAATTTTTATGTTTGTGTGCGATTTTGGTCGTTATTTTGGGAATTGCACTCGTGTTTGGTTCTTCTCTAATTGCTTGCCAACTCGTTTGGGTTTATTGCGAGCACGCTTCCGCACGGCGCGTGATAGAAATCTCCCCATCATCTCCCTGTGGACGTAGGCAACTTACCGAAGTATGTAAATTCTCTGTGTTTGTGATTGGTTTTGGTTGTTCTCATTGTGAATTGTGCTCGTGGTGATTCTTCTCGCATTGTTTACCGACTTGTCGTGAATTGTGCACGCTTCCGCCTGGCATAACACTAAGTTCAATAGTTACGTTGATATAAAACGATGTTAACTACCAAAAACTTCCCTTAATTTTGGACAATTATCAGATAATCCCCCATGACTTTCAAAATATCTGAAAACCCCATAACAATTCATCTTCATGCTTGCTTGATTCCCCTTTTGCTATGTAAATATTAATAGTTTAGGATACATTATGTATTTTGATAAATAGTTGCTATGTCTTTCAACCCGACTTTGATGTATGTATGTTTGTTTATTATGGATTGCAATCCTTGTGCTTCCTAACTTAACTCTTGTATTATGTGTATTACATCTGTTATCAAACTTGTTGTATTTTGGTTGTCTTATTTGCATAACGTTAAACTTACTTTTTTAATATTTATGATTATTGAAATGAATACCCAAAATTTAAAGATAGGAGTATGCATTCTTCATTATCCTCGCGTTACGCGGGTTTTTTTTGCTAGTTTAAATAGAAAGGGGGTGGGTACGTGCAACAGTAATTATAGCCATGAATATGATTGACTGATCTTTAAAAATGTAGCGTGATAGTCGCCTGAGAATTCTCGTATTTTGTTAACATAATGTAGCAAAGTGCTACCTTTAAGAAACTGTTGATTTTTTTTGTCGCCACAAAATGCAACTCATGATATTCACTACTAGATAATAGAAATTTGTGGTATTTAAGAGAGAGAGAGAGAGAGAGAGAGAGAGAGAGAGAGAGAGAGAGATTGAATCCTTGCGCGAGATTGAATCCTTGCGCATAGTATTTTTCCAAAATTTCGATTGTTCCTTTTTTTTTAGGTAAAATACATTATCGGCACATTTGGACTTAAATTGACAATATTTTCATTTCAATTATCTCATACGACTATTATTGTACATCTAAAAAAATATGATTTAGATAGTATATTTGTTACACATATATGTAAAGCGGGAATGTGTATTTCATTCTTCTTCAATGTTTTTTTTGCATATGAAACTTTTTCACTAGCTCAAACTTTTGTACCCACCACAATGTCCTTACTTGATATTCTACAGAATTGAAACGAACACAAATATAATCTCTTAATATTTAATCTAGATGCATTCATGATACATGTTGAATTCTCTAGTATTTTCTATATATCACTCCTTATCTAAATCTTTTTCAGTGCAGCTTCAAATTTTTAATTGAGAATGAAATTTATAAATCAGGGCGAATATCACAAAATATGCTAACACTTAACACTCCTCTTGTACTTTCGAGCTTCCCTATTATTTCAAATTTGAATGATGGCGATAGTAGCATATAATATACTAGTGTGTTGTCCGTGCAAAGCACAGCGATAATTTTTTTCCACGCTATAGTAATCATGTTTTTAAATGCTAAAGCAAGATATTTTTTGACTTACTATAGTATCCCGTGTTTTTTTAATTATTACAGTATACTCGTGCTACAGTATTAATGCTATAGTATTTTTAAAGAACGTTACAGTTCTCGTCTCTGTTACAGTAATTTTTCTTTTAAAACACTACAGTATCCCGTGTGTTACAGTAATAATATTATATTAATATTTACTATAGTATAAACAGTGAATCCTACGTTCTTTTATTTGTATAGAAGAGTAGACGTGATTAATAAAGTTTTTTGAACTTTAGCCGTGACATGAAAAATGTCTAATTGCTTCATAACTGAACAGTAAGGATGCGGTATTAAAAAACGTGCACATCTGTAACTACTCATATCAAAGAGTGGCTGTCATTTATGGGTGCCACATCCCTTAAAAAAAAGGCAACAAATCTTATTCTTTTTGTCATTTCTTCGAAGAATATCATTCTAATTTTTGTTTAGTTTCGCGATCTGCTGATTTTATCAGACAGCTCCTGGGTTCTTTTTCTTGCACGGTAATTATCTTCGGCCACCTGTCACGTGAGAGGCAGAGAGAGTGACTGCGGTGTAGGATTATCGCAACAGAATGATTACATTGCCTGCACTTGTGCAGGCGGTTTGTACCTCGATTCCAAGTCACGTGATTTTGCCCAAATGATTTTCTACCTCCGTGCGGATGCATCCCTTGATCTCACGCGAGCGAGAGTGAGGGGGTACTGTTTACACTAAGGTCCTCCTTTTTTTAATATTAGTGTGCAGCCCCCCTAAAGAATGGTCTATTTTTTATTTCTGCTACAGTAATTTTGTATTTAAATACAATTTTTAAGTGTTACAATAACATTTTTAAAATGCTATAGTGTCCCACCCCGAGATACAATAATGATGCTACAGTAATGTTTTTAAACCGTTAATGTTCTCACATGTGCTACAGAAATAACGCTACAGTAATTTATTGTAGCATGAATAGTGAATCTTGGATCCTCCCATTATTATCGATGATTAGATTTACCTTCTTAACGCAATTGTATTGTTACACTCAGCACATATAACATAAATAAATTTTGCGCTTTGACCCTTGGGATGATTTTGCCTTAGCTTTCTTATAATTTACTTGATCTGTTATTCTTGTATTATACGTTACAAATCTTAATATATAGATATATTATATAATATACTTCATTATTCTATGATTACCATTGTGTTGCTAATTAATGATATATACATTTTTTGTTGAGGAGGCAATATTTAATTTGAACCGAATAGTTACAATATTTTATTTTATTTTTTTGAGAAGGTAATTTTTAATTTGAACCGGATAGTTATAATATTTTTATAATAAAATAACTGATAAGTTCATTTACACAATATTTCAATTTGTGCTTAATTTGTTCCAATTTCTATTTTAACAACAAATGCACGCCGTATTTCATATTTGTTTATGGAATCCAAAAACTTAGATAAGTTGTTTCACCGAATAACTAGACGATTTCAATCCTGTGCGATTTTGCATAATCTTTTTCGTAAAAGAACAATTTTCTACCATTGCACGAACTCCAAGTTACCATCATGC